TTGGTTTGAGTGAAGTTCTATTAAACTTGGTCCCCCACCCCTTTTACAAAAAAAATAACAGCAGAATACGAGCCTCTGCAGCTCTGGAGTACAAGAGAGTAGGTTGCAAATTATTTATCTGGAGAAAGTTTGTTACCAGTGCCTGGAAAGTCATAACCTTTCTTTCACATGAAACGCCTCTTTAACCAAAGGTACTGAACACTGTGAACTGACATACATGGAATACTTGTATTTAGGAAAGCTGAAGGTGGGGAAACTTGAAAAAAAAATCTGTTTACATCAGAGATACATATATTAAGCCTCATAATTTCCTCATAACTTACACTTGAAAGCCATACAGAACACAGTTTTTCGGTTACATTTAAGTATTATAAATCATATATTGTAAGACACAATACTCGTGTTCCCATTTATTATTATCTTCATTAGAATGATGGAATTCGAGAATGTGAAATACACTCGTCAACAAGCTTAAGATGGCATTTAATGATATAAGAAAATCTGATATATTCATCTTCACCAGTTTAGTACTGGGCAGAACAATATGGCAGAAATAATAACATATCTTAAAGAAATATAATGAATACTGAAAATCTGGTATCTGTTCATATTCCAGTTCAGTAATGGAAAGGATTATATGGCAAAAGTAACATATCTTACAAAAAATGTAATGAATACCAAAAATCTGGTATCTATTCCTATACCGGTTCAGTAATGGAAAGGTTTATATGGCAAAAGTAACATATCTTACAAAGAAAAATGTAATGAATACTGAAAATCTGGTATCTATTCATATTCCAGTTCAGTAATGGAAAGGTTTATATGGCAAAAGTAATATATCTTACAAAAAAATGTAATGAATACTGACAATCTGGTTATCTCTTCAACTTCCACTTCAGTATTGGATATGATTATATAGCAAAAATGAATAATATATGTTAAAGAAATGCAATTACTATTGAAAATCTTATGTTCATGTTCACCAGTTCAGTACAGGTAGTACAGTATGGCAAAAGCAAGAGAAGGAATACACCTGACAGCAGCACTTCAGATGTCAGGCATGTCTTGCATGCATCACAGCTGACACCGCGAAGCACCTGTCTGGCAATGGAACCACTGACGTAAGCTACTGAGAACACTTCCATGTCACCAGCAGGTACTGCAGGACTCGTGTCCATCTGTACTTGCTGAGCAACATGGAAACTCTCAGGCACACCAGCAGGGGTTTCCTTGTCATGACTTGTGGAAGGATTCCGTGATGCTGCTTCAGGTGCCCTGAAAAGCGATTGTAGATTATCCAGAAGATTAGCACCATCATCCTCACAATTAGTTTCCCCCAGTCCTCTAAATGCAAGGCCACTGATGATGCTAGTCTTCAGGGCATCTACAAACTGTCCCACAGTTGGGTTAGTGTTTGAACCACAGTTTAAATGAATGGCTCCAAATGTGTTCTCCAGGGGGTCCTGATTCAGGTTTTGGGTGTGAAGGTACTGAAAACCGGCCTCTTTCAGTGTCCTCCACACATGCTGGGTAGCAGTGATGTCAATCAGCCACCCATTCTGTGAAGGAGGAGGATGAAGAAAGGCGGGTTTACCATGCTTGAGGAAGATCCAACTATTTATCCCCATACTTGCCTTTTTCCGGAGCTCTATATGGGGACTGCTGTCACTGAGAGGGCAACGCAGTGTTTTCCCTTGGCCAACACTTGTTCCACCATTGAAACTATTGAAGAGGTTGTCAACCTCCTCAACAAACACAGCTGTTGCCATGTATTTGCTGCTGCACCCACCTCAATGGGGGGGGGGGAAGCAGAAGTTGGTGTGCCTCCTTACGTGGTGAATTAGTTTCTTTACATTGGAAAATAACACCTTACTTTACAAAGGACTAACGTTATACAAAACTTGTACATTTCATTACATTATTCCTCATATTAAAATCTTTGCCACCTAATCACCTTAATCATATCACTGATAGTGTCATCTGCTTTTCAAATATTTTTTAATTATCCTAAAAAGAGTATTTGTGACATATCCTACATAACTTGTATATTGATATACAGTTTCAGAAGTCAATTCAAGTCAAATGATAATGACGTTTGAGTACAACTGGGTTCTGAGGCAGTAACTTTGAAAACTAGTCCTCATTATTAGTCACTTCATTCATATAAGAAACATATAGTGCTTACCTGCAGCCACTAGAGCATTGAGGCTTGCTGCACATCTGTTAGGGTGTACCCTTTCAGCTGTAGTGAAATCACTTTCAGAGAAATGTTTATTGCACAGAACTTTATTGTGCAGTATTCTAGCAGTCAGTAGTACAGGATAATCCAACTCTTCCTGCCCATACCATAGCCCTGTAAGAGTATTAAATATTGTCTCAAAACCTTGAAATAATTCATCAGTAAACATTACAAACATGGTGTAGGTGCTACATTACATCATGTACTAAAACAGACATTCATTCATTTATTTACTTTCCATTAATCCTTACATGGCTGGAAGAACAGTGGATATAGTAATAGTCAAAGACAACAGGACAAGTTCCATCAATGATATAAATAAAAATTAATTATATTTAACCCATAACAATTACACATATTATCAAAGACAAATCACAGTGAGTAAATCATTAACACAGTTTTCAAATATATATGTGAAAGAATGCAGCACACTAATGACACAAGACTACAATAATGAAACATAAAAGTATACTACTAGGCATCCAGCATATAACAGAACAGGATCATTAATTAATATTGGAGTTGAATTATTCCTCCAATGAGTAAAATAGGTACCTATCTTTCACATAGGATCTTATCAATGCATTGGCCTTACCAACTATTCCATAAAATTCTACTTTAGACAGAGAGATAGACATACAGATATTGACATAGTCAAAGGTTTTCTTCAAATCACAGAAAATGCCAATGAACATTATTGGTATTGATGTTGTCCAGCTATTGTTCGAAAATAATTATTAAAAGAATCTGTAATAACATCATGATTATCAGTTAACTTCCCATCAATGTTTAAAAACTGTATATCTGCATTATTAATTTTTCTACCTGTGTCTGAGTTTATGTCCAAGTGGTTTTCATTTTGTTGCTAGGGTTAGAAATAAATTGATTATAACGAAGATTTTTTGCTCCTTTAATAACACTGGCCAAAATATTACAATATGTTTTATAATAATATTTCAGATCTGGCTCATACCGTGCTGAATCCCTGGGAAAATTGAAGAATATCATTCCCATTTCCTCACTGGAAGACGTGCATCCTGGAGCAAAACACTTCTTTTTCCTTCCCATTTATACTGCAATAAACAATACAAAAATTATAAGAGAATCACAGTACACTCTCATTTTCTTAATATTCTACGGTCCTTCTTTAGGCTACACCGAAACATGCTTAAAATACAGAAATACGATTTGGATGAAGTATCTTAGTAACACTGACTTCGTGTTTGTTTCTAATTTCACTGGGCGTAGTAAGCATAATCCATATACATAAGTAACACACAAATGTAAATTCATGCGTAAATGTCGACTCTCGTTTCACAACATCAAATCAAAGTCCCTACTTACTAATTAATCTAATTAATTGCACAACATACCTCGATGCCGCACACATATCACCACAAACTACTCGAGCCACCGCCCAAAACCGCCAACGGAAATTTATGATCCTCTGATTGGCTCACACTTATGCGATTCGATTAATTGCGATAGGTGTAGACATCTAGTACGTTTCTTGACTCTTGTATTGTGTTTTCAATATTAAACCTTGTGACTAACCTAGCGTAATCAGTGGTTATCATTTACGTCTGTATTTAGGTTACAAATGGCTGCTAATATTCCTCCCGTCTCAAGACTTTCATCACGTTTAATCCGAGTGTTGTGCTCCAATCCTGGCCCTATGACACTGCAGGGAACTAATACGTATATAATTGGAACAGGAAAAAGGTGGTATTATTTACGCTGGTAATGGCACTAGTTATTGTTCAGGGTGACCAACAAAATATTTTGTACTTTCTGTACAAAATTAATTTTCTGAAGTAATGAGAATGATACATAACAACTTTCCAATAAATACTTTCTGCAGTATAAAGAGGCAGGCAGTATTACAGATTAAGAATTATATAATTCTCCTTAATATAAATGTATATAATTCACACATGAAAACAGCTTCATACTTTTAAAGGCCATATATGTTTGCCATTAACAGCATACACAAAGTTTATAAGCCAATTTATTTTTCGGCATCTGAAGTTTACATACAATTTTCATGGGTACCCCAAAGTCTGTGAAAATATTGTACAATACTTCCCTCCACTTGACGTATACAAATATCATGTAATGTCTCCTTCTACTCCTGCTTTTTCACCAGTATCTGTTGAACACAAAAGATCTGATCAGTAGTTGATCTCTTACATTGAAACCCATACTGATGATGCCCAATAATTTCATCTATGTATGGACTTCACCCTGAGAGAAGGATATTGACAAAAATTTTGTATGAAATTGATAACAGTGCTATCCCATGATAATTGCTACAGTCAATTTTATCACCCTTCTTATGAAATAATACAATAGTAGACTCTTTCCACTCATCATGCAAGTCTTCCTTATACCAAATAGAATTAATTAGCTTATGGTTCTTAGAACATAATATTTCACCTCTTGCTTGAATTAGTTCTTCCAGAATTTGATCACTGGCTGGTGATATATACCTTTTCAAATTTGCAATAGCAATTTCAACCTCAGCTGGATGTATTTCTACCTGCCTAGCATAACTGACCCTATGTACCTTCAGTAACTGGGAGTTCTTCCACCTGTTCAAAATGTGGGAATCTACAAGCAGATCACCTTTCTCGTCCTTCACTAAGTTATTTCTAGGATGGTAACCCTTCTTAAATTAATGTATTCCTCTATACAGTTCTGTATATGTTCTTATTCTTACTGTTTGTTGCAAGCTCATTAATTTTGTCTTTCTGATACACCCTCTTTTTATTCCTGAAATGCCAGCTGGCTTCACATCTTATGTTGTTCAGGTTATTCCCCCATACACCTTGATGGTGTAGTGCTTAATTAGTTAGGCACAGGGGCAACTTTATCTTTGTACCCATTTATTTCACTTGGATCCTGTAACCACTGTGGTTTGGCTAGTTTCCTTTGATATAATAATTCTAAGCATCCTTTGTCAAACCATTATGCCAATGTTATGCCAATATGGCTGACGGTGTAGTACGTCATGATAGTTGTGTCTCCACGTTTCTTAGTAATAGATGTGAAATACAAGAGGTGAACTGTATAAGTTGTGAAGAACTAAGTTTAGAATTGCTTCAAGCAAAGACCAAAATATTATCATTAGAGAAAATAATAAAAATGCTGCAAGTGGAGCTAAACATGATCAGACAGGAAGGCAGATCTAACCTACAAAAAGACCCGGAAAGCATTGATGCTGTTACCACATTGCAAGTGGCAGTGAACAAAGTTCATGTAGAAGAAGCTTGTGCTCAACTTTTAAAAACACCTATGAATGTTTCTCCTAAAAGATTCCGAGTGAATTCACATCCTGAAGAGGGCCAAAAAGACTTTTACAACAATTCTCAAATCTCCTTACCAAATCAACCACAAGTGGGATCACAACGTGTAAAAAGAAATTTTGATAATCCGGAACCAAGGCAATGTATTGCAACAGTAGTAAATGGAAGAGTGATACCTAAAGTACAAAACACAAGAGATGGCTATACTAGTGGTAACAATGTTAAGCCTTGTGATTTAGTATCTGAAACTTCAACAATGATGAAATCGAACTATAGTAAAGAGACATATAAATTGGTCATGATAGGAGACAGTTTTCTTAGAGCAGCAGCTGAAAATGTAAAATCCTATTTGAGTGATACGTATGAAGTTCTCAGTATAGTGAAACCGGGTGCGGGTGTCAGTGTGTTAACTCAGTCTATGATGGAGGAAGTTTCAGCATTAACATCTATGGAAGTATTAATACTTGGCGGCGGCTCTATTGATCTTGATCAAAGTAAAGTAAAAACAGCTTTCAAATTAATTACTGATTTTGCCATATTAAATAATCATACAAATATCATTCTTCTGAGTGTTCCTAAACATTATGATTTGCAAAACTATTCACATATAAATAATGAAATAAGGAAATATAATAGTAAACTATCTAAGATAGCTCAGGCCTTTACACATATTAAATTTATTGAAGTTGACACAAATAGGAATAATTATACAAAGCATGGACTACATTTCAACAAGTCTGGTAAAGCTCACCTTGCAAAACAGATAGCATCTACTGTTCAGCTATTACTAGGAAAAAAGTCAAGCTCTCCTCTTGTTTTGGACTGGCTGTCTGATATAACAGTGTATAACGACAAAGTTGCAGCAGACATTTCTTTCGTGACTGATGCTATCCAAATTAAGAACACTAATACGTTAGTGGCATGTAACGACAACAGGTCTAATAGAACTTCAAAGAGAGTCAAGAAACTTCCTAGGACGAGAACGAGCAATTTTTTATGGCAAATACAAATTCTGAAGTTATAAATGATTCATCCATCTTACTTCCGTCAAACTTGAAAGGAAATAAAAAGAATAATGATGTTGGCATAAACAAGTCTAGTCAAGAATATATAAAAAGAAATGCCCCTCAAAAATGTTCAAGTTTATTAATTTACCATCAAAACATTAGAGGTATAAATAATAAAATTGAAGAACTACTCAGTCAGTGGGAATCTAAATTACCCCATGTGTTCTGCTTTACTGAACACCATCTAAGCAAGCCTGAAATTACATGTACAGTTATAACAAATTACAACTTAGGAGCATATTATTGTCGTAAATCCAAAAAGAGCAGCGGTGTAAGTATTTATGTCCATCACAATTTACAATTTACACCCAATGATCTGGATGAATATTGTACTGATCAAGATATTGAAATTTGTGCAGTGAAGTTACATAATTTCTCTATTAGTACCTCTATTTTAACTGTGTATAGATCTCCAACTGGAAATTTTTTATATTTTTTAAACATTTTAGAATCTGTTCTTACACAAATATATTCAGCTTCAATAGATATCATTTTATGTGGAGATATAAATGTTAATTACTTAGATGAAGCTGGTACTAAAAAACAAAAGTTAGATTCTTTATTAGCCTCATATAACTTATATAGCATTGTGAATTTTCCTACTAGAGTCACCAACACTTCAGCCACTGCTACTGATAATTTCTTTATTGATAAACATAGAAATGAAATCTACTCCATAAATTCACTATCAAATGGTCTGTCAGACCATGATGCTCAAATTCTATCTTTAAGGAACCTTAAATTCCCGAATTCACCCAATTATTTTATTAATGAAAGAGATATAAATGAATCTACTATACTAGATTTCAAGTTAAATCTTAATTGTGAGACTTGGGCTGATGTTTTCGCTGTAGAGGAAGACGTGAATCTGATGTTTAATAATTTCCTCAATAATTACTTAATAATATTTAATCATAGTTTTCCTTACAAAAAATATTCCTCCATACAAAAAGATAAAGCCTGGTTAACAACAGGAATTAAAATATCATGTGCTCGTAAAAGACAATTATTTGTGCTCAGTAGAAACACTGATAACCCTGAAATAATAAGATACTACAAAAAATATTGTAAAATTCTATCTGATATCATAAAGTTAGCAAAGAAGTATCATTACAATAAGCTTATTACAAATTCCAAAAATAAAATTAAAAATACTTGGAGTATTATTAGATCTGTCACTAAGTCAGGTAGTAATGTAATATCATCTATAAGTACTGATGGGAAATGATACAGTAAACCACAAACTATGGCAAAAATTTTCAATAATTATTTTATAACGCCACTAAATCAAATGCAATTTAATAAACCAACTGATATATCTAACTCTTTAACTTACCTGCATGAGGTGTACAAACAACCTTTTCCAAATATAAACATGACTCCTGTCACTAGTAAAGAAATTAAAGAAAAAATTAAGTCATTAAAATGGAAGAATTCTAAGGGATATGATGAAATTCCACAAAACATCTTAAAAATAAGTATGCCTCTTATTGTATCCCCACTAGTTTATATATGCAATAAGTCATTGAATTCAGGAATATTTCCTACTCGACTAAAATACTCGCAGGTAAGTCCTGATTATAAAAAAGGAGATAGAACAACAATGACTAATTATAGGCCAGTTTCTTTGCTGACATCTTTCTCTAAAATTTTTGAAAAAATCATCTATAACAGACTTCAATATCACATAGATATTAACAATATTTTTGCACAAGAACAGTATGGTTTCAGAGCCAAATTATCTACTGAGGTAGCCACATATAACTTAATAAATAATATTTTAGTAGCATTTGATAATAAATTAACAGTAGGAGGACTTTTCTGTGATCTGACTAAGGCATTTGACTCTGGGAATCATGATGTCCTATTGTCTAAACTGGAGTTCTATGGCATTACTGGTAATCTAGGAAAGTTAATTAAATCATATCTGAAGGACAGATATCAGAGAACATTGATAAATAGCAACTACTCTATGGGTATTTCTGAATGGTAAAAAATCAAACAAGGAGTGCCACAGGGTTCAATACTTGGCCCCTTGCTATTTCTACTATATACCAATGACTTACCTTATTTAATAAATAAAATATCAAAACCAATTTTATACGCTGATGATACCAGCATAATATGCTTTAACTATGATTCTGTTGAACACGTTAAGGTGTTAAAAATGATATTAATCAAAATAAATAAATGGTTCATGATTAATTCACTAACATTAAATATTGACAAAACTAATTTGTACATTTTTCATCAAAATTAAATAAAAAATCAAGCATAAATCTAAAGTATGAGGATATCCAAATTAATAGCACAAGTAATACAAAATTTCTTGGATTAATTATAGACAATACCTTATCGTGGAAAGATCATATAAGTCATTTGGTAGTGAAGTTGAGTGCGGCTAGTTACTCTATAAGAATCTTGTCTGCAGTCATGACTCGGGAAAGTTTAAGGATGATTTATTTTGCATATGTACACTCAATTATATCATATGGAATAATATTCTGGGGCAATTCGACACATAGTAATTTGATTTTTAAAATACAAAAAAGAATGGTGAGAATTATAATGAAGGCAAGGAATAAGGACTCCTGTCGTCCATTGTTTAGGCAACTAAATATTCTGCCCTTATATTCGCAATATATATTTCTTGTATTAATATTTGTAACCAAGAATATCGACATATACAAATTTAATTCTGCCATACATAGCATTAACACCAGACAAGTTACAGATTTACATTTTCCAACTAATAAATCTGCTAAGCTGCAGGAGGGTGTATATTATGCAGGGATTAGGATATTCAATAATTTACCACGAAGCATTAGGAATTTGTCAAATAATATTATTAAATTCAAACAAGCTTTAAAAAGGTTTCTTCTTATTGGCTCATTCTATTCCTTAAATGAATACTATGAATGGAACTCAAGGGGTGATCTTGATTCTTACAAATAGCATAAACAACTGATTTGAACAGTTCTTTAATTGAATCTGTAAACAAGTACAGTAAAACTTGGTTATAGCAACATCGGTTTCTGCGACACCTTGTCTATTGCGTCAAATATTCAATGGTATGAACTAATTCCTCATAAAGCAACTGTTTTTATACCTTGCTTAGTACGACATGCACAAATGCATCAACCTCGTATGTAACGTCATTTTCATTCCTGAATTTCTCTGATATGGACATTGAACGTAATTTAGAAAGTGTGTATTGGGCAAGTAACAGGAAACAGATGAAGATAACTGATTACTGTACTCGTATCTAGGTACAGTAAGGCACAACAATTGATGTAATCTACTGTAATTTGGTGAGTAGGCCTACCTTTAATATACAGTATTAGTGCGGTGTGTATTGTCAGTGAAAAGCGCTGTAATATGTCTTTGATATTACACATTTGGGCAATTCCACGTTAATGTTACGTTAGTCTGTACTTAACTACGTATTTCACTAAAAAATGCAACATTTTAACTCGGTTTTTGGTAGATTTTTACGTGACTAACATAAGGCTACTGTGGAAGTGCCCATTTCGGTTACAACGTCATTCGTTTATAACGACACTATTTTTAGGTCCCTTTGATGACGTTATAACCAAGTTCTACTGTATATACTTTGATTTGTGTATATAGTGGACATGATTTCTATTTATTTTAATAATTTTATCATTATAATTTACAATTATATATTGTTTTATCAGTGTTTGTATTGATTTTTTATATATTCCTGAGAGAAAGTTTTTAATATGTATTTATGGCTAGTGTATGTCTTATATTGTATTATTTTTATGTTTGACATGATTCATATTAATTGATCCCTAGCACAGCATTGTTAATTTAGATATAGGACTTTGTTCTGCTTGTGAATCTTGTTGTGATTTGCCTTGCCAGCATCTTGCTGACTTTGTTATATATATTTTTATATTTTTAACTTGTTTCAACAGCTGTTGGAGCATAACTCATCTTTCTGTTTTGACATGTTCTATATCCAATGGTTTTATACCTGTAACTGGATCTACTAGAATATAATAAAGATATGATATGATATGATACCATGGCTTATGATTCTTCAGTTCATAACCTAGACTCTCTTTCGGTCAAATTTTGATATTCTCTCTAATAGCTTCCCAAGCTCTATGCTTTCCAAAGTTGCAAACTTATTTGAGATTTTGTTATGATACTGCTCTTTACCCTCTACCTCATTTAATTTCATGAGAATGGTCCTCTCCATATGAAATTTATGAATTATTTATTTACTCACTGCCAGTCACTCCCTAACTTTTGCCACCACCAGATTCCTGAATCTTACTTTGCACAAGGAGATCGTATAAATTTTCTTCTTTTATTCTTGCTATAATATCATTTATCCAAGGAACGTTCAAGGCACTTACAATATTTCTTCCAACTTTTGGATGAGATAAATTAAAATAACAGTTAAAGACTCTGTAAAAGGAATCCAGATTTTTCTCCACATCATTTTCCAAGAATACCTCATTCCAAGTTTCATTTTGTATTAAAGAGCACAGACTTGTTAAATTGTTTCTGATACATTCCTAATCTCGTAACATCTAATTTGTTGCAGTAGTCATGTTACTGGTAATACATTGTGCGTAGTGATCTGAAAGTAGGCTGTTTATTACATCAGTGTAGTAGCATTGTGCAGTCATGTTAGTAATGATTCAGTCTATAATTGTTGCTGCACTTTCAGGTACTTGAGTAGGTGTATTTATTGTCATAGTCAGATTATGAATATTTGCAACATCTAATAATTGTTTGTGGCCACACACACCTAGGATATTTATGTTTACATCTGCAAGTATGGTATAACAGTCTTCTTGCTGGCTTCCCACCGCAGTGGCCTAAGTTCAATACTGGGTCTGATCAAGTGGGATTTGTGGTGGACAAAGTGGCGCTGGGGCAGGTTTTCTCCAAGTACTTCAGTTTCCCTTCCAATCTTCATTCCACCAAATTCTCCATCATCATACTCACCCGAGGCAGGCTACAATAGGCCAATCAGTGGCTGCCATGCCGAGTGGACCCAGTCGGACTCTGCCCCCCACTAAACGAATTAAAAAGAAATTAATTCTTATTAACTGTGCAAAAAATGCATGTAGGTGATCTATATAATGCAATAATTATTACTTTTTTCTTGACACCTGTTTATAACAATAACCTGCAGTGTTTGTATATACTTTTTCTGTAATTCATTTCAAAAATATAGATTGTAATATGTTCTTAGGGCTGTAAATAGCTGTCCCTCCCCCTTATGTTCTTTTCTACAGAAATGTGAAACTACCGTATTACCCTCTAATGTACATTGAGTTTGGAGACCATGTTCATAAATAGCCAAGATATCTGGGGTAGTAGTTTGAATGAATGCTGTAAATAACTAAATGTTCGATTTACCACTATGGTCTCACAGACTGAACCTAGGTACTTAATAATTAATACAGTTTTTTCATAATGCAGAATTAGACCAAAATTCATTTCCAAGAAACAAGAAACATTACATAATGTGACAATCAACAGTGAACAACAATCTCTACAAATAATTTGAAAGCACGGATCATATCTAAGCAGGAAGGCAGGAAATGCATGTTGTCTACATGATGTGATGGGAATAGAATTTTCAGAACTACGGGCAAAGTGTATTAAATATATTGTGACTGTAGACCTGTTTGTAGGGTATGACTGTAAACAAGACGGTAACAAACAAATACTCAACCAACAATAGATTAGAACCATTTCTGGGCAACATCAGCAATACTCGAACACAACAACAGTATCAGTGTCGCAAGAGGTATTTTCTATGTGGTTCGCATATATCTGTTGCTAGACAATGGATGTGTTTTCTGTGCTGTGGTCCAACTCAAGTCAAGTCTATATAATGAGAAAACAATAATTGACAGTTCAGTTGGAGTTCAGTTTAGTTCAGTTGTCAGTTGAAAGTCAGCCTGTGAAGAAAAGACTTAGTATGTGCAAAAGAAGACTTTATGTGTGCTGTAGTTACAGTGAGACTGTTATAAATCTGTTGTCAGGATATGACTAGTGAAGACTGAGAACATGTAGCATGTCCTGGTGATTTGTGAAGTGGGTAGATTAGTGATAGCACTATAATTTATTGTGATTATGAGAGATTGTAAAAGGTGTTAATAATCCAATTATCCAATCCAAAACCTGTTATTATTACTCATGGAGCTGTAAACACGTGACAGTACCACATACACATAGTTGAGAATAATTTAGCAAAATCTTTTGGGGCTGGTGTTTGAATAGCACAAAGTTAACCCTTTGCCATGCCCAATTAAATTCACTGCATCCTCCTACTTTTGAGACCAGTTAATTTGAATGTCTACTACAGATTGGCATATTTAATATGACAAGGAGCATTTAATTTCATGTCATTTTACTGAGTGAGGTGTGACATTTTAAGTCCTGCAATATTTACCATAGATGAATTTGAAGACCTCTCACATAAACTGTAATAAGTGGAATTTAGGACATAAGACATGATATGAACTTCTTTGTCAGCACACTTCCATGTGCCTGATCATAAATATATCCAACTGTGACACGTTATGATCAGTTACTGTCAGCATCAAGACTTTGATAAGGTAGTGATTCCATTTCTTTTCATGCAATTCACATTCATTACTGATAAAACATGGCTTTCTCCATATTTAGAAGGATTCTATTGGATGCTGGTGAGCAAGATGACATACAGTACTTGAAGATATTAGAAGATATATTGAAGGAAGAAAATATAGATTTTGAACATGTCATTGTTACACACTGGCATCATGATCATATTGGAGGAGTACACAATGTGGTGAATAGATTCAACAATGGTGAGTTTGCAGTCATATTCTTTACAGAACATTTTTTTTTTACAAATTCATATTGAATCTGTTTAAGACTATTTTTGCTGACTACCATACAGTGTTCAGGTTAGAAAAATAATCTTAATTTCCAAAACATGTCCGCCCTCGGGACACAAAGTAATGAGAACTAAGAATGACACTTCCTCAGCACATATCATGTACATTATTATATAAGTGACCTAAAATAATTCAGCTTTAGGTGATAATCTGTACTGATGTCATATGCAGTACTTACTTACTCATGGAGCTGAGCCCTTCTGGAGGAGCCGCCAATTCTGCAGCTACTCAAGAATTTCCAAGCATTTTATGGAACCCGAAGGTTCATTACCATGTTCACAAGAGCCCTCCACTGGTCCCTATCCTGAGCCAGATCTATCCAATCCATACCATCCCATCCTATCTCTCTACGATCTATTCTAATATTGTCCACCCACCTACACCTTGGTCTTCCCTGTGGTCTCTTTCCCACCAATGTCATATGCAGTGGACAATTTATTATTCATTAACCTGGAATTGCTGTTATGATCAGAGATTATACATCAATATTGGAGTGCCAGTACTTAGAGCTCTCTAATTTCATTGCACCTCTTTAATTAATCTTATAATTGAAAGTGACTGGAATGTTACTGCTGTTGATTAGGTGTACATATAAGGACGCTTACATCTGTATGCTTCCCTCACACCCACATAAGCTTTATTTACACTGCATTTGTTTTACACATTTCTTATACTCCAGGCTGCAAGGTATGGAAATTTAATCGCTTAGATCCTCCTGATTTACCATTACCAGATAATATTCCTCTGAATTATCTTAAAGATGGAGAAGAAATTGGTACAGAAGGAGCCACTCTCAGGTAAGATTAAATGGTTCTTTCATACTCCATATGTTAACTACACAGCAGTGTTGCATAACCTGACTACAAGCTCCATCCTGCCCAACAATGTAATTTCTTTGTGTAAGAATTTGTGTATGGGGCACGCGGTAGCATAGTTGGTTGAGGCACTATGCTACAAGCTGAAAGGTCACGGGTTCAGATCCCGATTAGGTCATTAGATTTTTTTCAGTTGACCTAATCCTTCCAGCCGCACTATGGAACTGGGGTTGACTCAGCCTCTAACAGAAATGAGTAACAGGAATTAATTAAATAATTTTCCTGGGGAGTAAATCGCGGCCAGCGCGTAAGGCGGACAATTTTACCACTATCTTTGAGCCGTTCGTCTAGATAACGTGGGACCCTCAACGTCTCACAACCCTATGGGCCTTCATGGCCTGTTACAGGGATAGCTTTACTTTACTTTTACTTAGAATCTGTGTATAAATTATTGCAGCCTAAAAAAGTGCAAGATTCTGTATTGTGCCCAGAGATACAGGATAATGGAATTTAATATGAAATTGTGAATTCCCATATTTAGTGAAAATTTTTCCTAGTTCCAGCAGAAGCTCGGTATAATCAGTGTACCATTTCACCATATTTAGTTCACCTCTATTCAGTAACCCGCATTTACTATAAGAAGTTTTCAATCTTTAAAATCTCATACCTCAGTTTTGTGTGATTGTGATTGGAACAACAATCAATATTCACGTTTTTTCTATGCTGAAAATCATTTCTTCAAAAGAACTGTGATCGTCATTAATTATTTCAGAAATTAATTTGATATTACTAACTCTGTAACTGTATCTATTTGTGTAGAAATAGTTTCTCTCTTTCTTTCTGTGTTTATTCAATTTATCCATTTAATGTTTTAACAAGTAATTTGATATTACTGATTCAACCGTGACAACTTTATTTTTGCAGAGTTATTCATACACCTGGTCACACAAAAGATCACATTGTATTAAAACTGCTAGAAGATAATTCCTTGTTTAGTGGGGACTGCATATTGGGTGAAGGCACTGCAGTATTTGAAGACCTGCATGACTACATGAATTCTCTGCGACGAATATTGGAACTGAAGCCCACTTGCATCTATCCTGGACATGGGCCAGTGGTGGAGGTTTGTTAATATTTCAGATGCAACTCTAAAACAACTTCAGAATAATTACTTGATATATAGTTCAGTTCACATTTGAATTGGCATGGGAGAATGACTGAGATAAAAATAATAACAGGGTTCATTAATTTTGAAATAGGCTTTATTCTTTGACAAGTTATTTTCTGATGTAAAACTCCTTTAGTAACATTCATCTCACATACAGAAGCCTATGGCTTGCTTGGATGTCCAAATTGTGTCCCCCAACTGAAAGCCTTAATAGTAGTTATGAAATTGGCCAACAGGGAATTATTTCACAAGTTCTCCACATTTGTCATGTTAGAGACCACTCAAAATAATGTGTGGCTGTGGAAGAAAATGGAGTATATGGTGCTAATGTTGAAACAGTATCAACATTTATAAATTATGTCAGTGCTGATTTTTATCTGAAGTCCACATTATGCAAGCAGAGACTGTTATAACTGGTCAAGTTTTGACTGAAAGAAATGTATCTATATCATACATAAAAGCAGAACCAGCTACACACAGAACAAAAGGATAAAACCAACACATCAGCAGAACATAAGTAGCATCACAACTGCAGAGATAGAACAACGGAACACAAAATCTTATAAATAAAACATTAATATAACCCATTACATATTACAGATACACCAGACCCATGCATACAGATAAAAGTAATAGCAGCATGACAATGTATAATAGTTCAGAAGCATTTTGTATCAAAATGAAAAGCAGAACAGTGTGATAACAGAAGAGCAGTTTCCTTCAATCCAACATGTTATACACCAGATGATGTCCAGTTAGGCTAAAACATGTATAATGAGAAGAGACGAAGACATTCAAGTGTGGATATTAATATTTCGACAAAGTTGCACAAAGATGGTGAAGAGCGAGAACATGAAGTGAGAGGAGCATATTGTTATTCTGTCAAATTTAGGATCTTAATACAAATATGGATGTCTTTACAGAACTTTTCAAGCTAACTTAATAAGGTTGGGTAATTCTACTGAAGTTTGTTTTTAACAGTTCCCCAAGTTTTTGTGATGAACTGGTTAACCTGTTGAAGCCTAAAATTAAATAAAATAATATTTATAAATTCAGTTCCTAACTCATAGAAATCTGACTGTTACTATTTCAAACATCAATCAGCTGCTGTTGTTTAGGGAAACGGTAAGTATTGTCAGAATCATATGGAGTCCATAAAAAGACACTGTGAAAAAATTCTGAATTTTTTTATGTTAAGTCAGGTGGTACATACAATGACCACTGTCTTTTAAAGGGTTAATTTGTCCAGTTAATCAGCAAATTGTGCAATTTAATTACTAATTATATTCTTTAGCCAGTTAATTAGAATGATGATAATGTGTGGGCACTACAGTCCATGATGAACTTTGGCCTCTGTTTTTACAGTTTCTTAATCATATATAGATGGTTGGTAGGACTCCTTGGGTGGGGGACCAGTCCACCGCAAGGCCACTACCTACACAGTACAACAAAAACTCAGAATAAACATCCATGCCTCGAGTGGGATTCGAACCCATGACCCCAGTGTTCATGCTTTAGACCATGTGGTCACTGTGATCGGCAATTAATCAGAAACTATACGTTATATCAGCTTATTTCAAGTTCAGAATTTCAAACTTAGCTGTCATTAGTGAAAATTTAAATCATTTATTTTTTTAAGAATGCCGTGAAAACGTCAAATCTTATATTCATTTTTTATTATGATTCTCAAAGTTAATAACCACGACCATATGCTCTGATTGTAGAATCCTTTGCCAAAGATCGAGTATTATATAAACCACAGGAATAAGAGAGAAGAAGAAATCCTTAGAGTTCTGAAAGAGAAAGGTACAAAGATGTCAGAAATGGACCTAGTGAAGATCATTTACATTGTAAGTGTATTTATAGTATCAATATATCAAAATAATTACAAGCCAGATTATCTGTGAAGTTTAGAAATACTATACCAACCAATATGATCTGTGGTAAATAAATCCTATTATCACTAGAACTAAAATATAAGCTGCAAATTACACCATACTTATTACACATTTACATATTATACAGGGCATCTATTTAGTTGTGGGTCTGAGCACCACAGAAGTAATGGTATATTTACTGAATAGTGAAACAATTGCTGAGGAAATATGGTCCATTATTCCTATGAAGGTATTTTAATCTTTACAGTAGAGCCTCAGAATACCAATTTCTACTGCTGAGAAGGTCTTACACGTTTAGAAACTATTTCTAGGCATGTTTAAACAGCAAAAATGTCTCTTCAAAGGTCTTACACGTTTAGAAACTATTTCTAGGCATGTTTAAACAGCAAAAATGTCTCTTCAAATTTTGTCTTCTGCTTCCTGCACTGAATAAGGAGTGTTCTCTTACTTTGTCTCATGTAAGTAAATGTCACATGGATTTAAACTTATTAACCCTGGAGGCTACAATCTGACTTGTCACCAGTTTGGAGAATACTTCATCAAATTACACAGTGTGAACTATGGAACTCATCTGTATGAACCCATAAGTTCAGGTATATATTATTTTGTGAAATTATAATGACAATATTTAATTCAAACAATTTTTTATCCAAATAATCCAGGCAGATTATTGACAAAGTTGAAGAGAAATCTAGTATGTTAATTAGAGAAAGAAACATGTCCACACTTAAGCACTTGTACTTATTCACTTTTTGTGCTAAATGATTCAGTTATGTATATTTCATTGGCAACCTTAATGTGTAGAGCAAATATAAATATGAAGGTGAATCAGATGTGGGTCATTTAGGTCTAGAAAGTTATGACACAATTCTTAAAGAGGGTGCATCCATATTAAAATATATTCAGGTATAAGATGAACTCTATGAGGCAGGGTTCTTATTTAAAACCTAATATTTGCGTAGTGGATCAAGAAGTTCTCCACTTATTACACAGAAACAAAGTTCATTACTATACTCGATGGAGTCTGCTACAGTACCCTGTCTGAGCCAAGTCAGCCCAGTCTATATCCTCACACTCTGTATCCCTGTTAATGTTATTCACCCTTCTACACCTACGAGCTTCCTATCCAATGGGTATGGGGACACTTTCCCCGGGGGTGAAGCAGACCAATCACCTCCAGCTAGTGCCAAGATCAAGAAAATGTGGATTTATACATCCACTCTCATGAATCTTCATGGCATAATGTCTAATTAGTTAGGCACAGGGACAACTTTATGTTACATTTTTTTTTGCACCAAGGTTCCCCAAGTATCTCTTCCACCACAATTTTCTGATTAAAATTTTGTATGCATTTCAGTATATCTACTACATGCCCCATCCTTCCTAATTTACATAATTTTATCAGTCTAGTAATATTTACTGAAGAGTACAAATTGCAGACTTCCTCATTACACATTCTTCTGCCATCCTCTTGTTACTGCCTCTTGCTTAGTTCAAGTATATTCTTTGGCACTCTGCTTTAAAACACTGTCAATTTATATTATTTCTTTAGAATGATAGACCAAGTTTCACATCCACATAAAACAAAAGGTAAAATTATAGTTTTGTATATTTTAATTTCTACATTTGTAGACAGGAGATGAGAAGACAGAATAATTTGAAAAGATTGGTAGTAAGCATTCCTGGAAGTTTCATCCTGTCTGAATTTCTTTGTGAACATACTTGTTGCTGCAAAGGATGAAGAACATTACAAAATTACAGAAAACCACTGGGTAACTGTTTTCAGCTAACTTCCATTAACAATTTTAATTATGCAATGATATACTGTATATTGTTGCCATCCTTTATAAGTTTTCTCATATGAGTAATTACAGGTACAAAATGCACTGACATGCTAATGCAGTTTACACATCTAGAATGAGAGATTTTCAGATTTTCATTTGTTGTATACCTTGTCAGATTATCCCTTTCCACACTACATTTTAGTATATAAGAATGGTGGGGTGCATTTAATTTTATTACATTCTGTTGTGTTAAGTACCACAAAGGTTTAATTGTGATAAGAAATGTTGTATAAATAATATCAAAAGCTGTATCATTTACATAATTTTATGATGAAAGAAAATATTATTTTAGGATACTCCAAAAAATCTCCACAATGCAGCAGCTTTAAATATAAATCATCACCTCTGCAAGTTGCTGAAAGAAAAGAAGGTGCTTCAGTGTGGCTCTAAGTGGAAATACAACACACTGGATTCCAACCTATAGCATCAATCGCCTTATCATACAGCTTACCAGTGCCTTTTTTGGTGCCTGGGGAAAGAGTCAGACTGTGAAGAAATTATATTCAAAGATATTCTGTACATGCAAGAATGACACACTAATTTTCATGTCTTTGTATTGAAACTGGATTATTTCAAACTCTGACATGGTAGAGGCTTTAATTTGCCTAACCTATAAATATAAAGAGGGAAATTTAAATTGTTTTGAAGTCAAATACAGCAATACCTCGCATAGTCCAGGTAATCAGTTCCGCCAATGTCCCGGACTGTTTGAAACTGGACTAATCGAGAAACTAAATACATACAAAAAATTATAATTGGGTAAAAAAAACTCCGTTTTTCAATAAATAAAACACGGTTAATAAATTCAAATGTCTATTAAAAATAATTTTTCAAAATTCATGTTTTTTGCAGTTCATTTTTTATTCTCTAAAAATCGCAATATTGATGTCTGCACATTTTTCTTCTTTGGCCTTTTCTCTTCATACATTTCTTTGTAGCAACAAATTGCATTGTTTATGATTCAGAGAATTGTAAGGCTATGATCGATATTGGGATCAACTTCCATAATATGATCTGACAAGGTTTCAACCATTCCAATAATTTTTATAGTTGTTCAGCTGTTAATTTTTGTGCAGGCATTTCAACACAGTTTTCGTCTAAGTTATCCTCCTGTTTTGATGCACTCAGTTACGTGGACGGAATCTAACTCATTGAAACCAAATTGCTGTTCAATTTCCACTATGTTATTAGTGACTCCAGCAAAATGAGTTTCAAAACCAATGAAACCATTTGCACAATGTGGTATGATATGTTTCAATACTGCCCTCATATTTCTTGCCGTTAATTCATGCCATGCTTTGCCTATATTTTCGATAATGTTTTTGATGTAGCTCTTCCAAAATTCCGTTAAAGTAGTGCTCTCCCCCCCTCCTCCAGCAATAGCTGTCAGAGCTTAAGAACGAACGACCCGAGCATAGGTACATACATATACAACAGGGAAACCCAGAAATTGAAATTTGTATCGTATCGCATAACTTTAAAACCACATAAAAATAAACCGCACAAAAAGAGACTTGACTGTATAAAGGAAAAAAACTGATCATTTATGTATTAAAAATAATTTTGTGTACTAATTTTTTATAATTTATTTTTATTTTGCTCAGTTAAAATTTAGTTTGTTTTGAAATTGTCAAACCAGACTATAGTGAATCTGGACTGATCAAAGCCGGACTATGCAAGGTATTGCTGTACTTTAATGAGAGAGTAATTTGATGCTGAGTACACATGCTTTTGCAGTGGGTGAAAAATTGGTACATTAGTTTGTAAGGAAAGCAAATAATGGATGAAAATAAAAAAATATGGTATTTAAGTACACTACTAACATCATCCAACAACTATTGTTTCAGAATATTTCCTGCAGTGTCAGATGCTGGTTCTATATATTGTACCCCTTACCAAAATTACTATATGGATGACCAAATCAAGGAGGATGAGGTAGGTGAGGTGGTCTCTTGCCTTAGATTTTATGGATAAATATTTACATGCTACATGCCCCACCCATCTCAGCCTTCCTGATTTTATCACCTGAGTAATATCTGGTACTACAAATTATGAACCACCTTGTTATGAAATTATCTTCATCCGCCTGTTACTTCATCTCTGTTAGGCCTAAATACAAGTATCATCCTCAGACCCCTATTCTCAAATAGCCTAACTCAATCTGGGTTTCTTAGGAACTAAAATTACCATGCTCTATAATTGCATGTCACAGCCTTTCCTAAAATTATATATTTTGGTGACTGTAAATGGCTACAGTAATGTTATATTTTAGCATCCTGTTGCACTGATTTATGTCCATGATTTATTCTGACCGTCTTACAGTGCATACATTTATTCACCTTACTCTTCTCTCTTGCACTACATGTTTCGGCACTAAAGTGCCATCTTCAAGTGCTTTTCGATGTACGTCGAACTACTTCATTGCATGCCCTGTTGTCTTTATACTAAAATATATATTCGTCATATATATTGATAAATTTTAAATATTAAAAATATTAAAACTGTTCAGGATTTGTCATCCTTATGTCGTATCTCAATACGCGAGTCACACCTATCTTCTTCTATCGGAGTATTCTTCCTACTTTCATATGTGTGTTGTGCTTTGTGTTGTGTCTTGCTCCTGTGACTGCGTGTGTTATACTCGCACTTTAGTGCCGAAACATGTACTGCAAGAGAGAAGAATAAATGTATGCACTGTAAGACGGTCAGAATAAATCATGGCTACAGTAAGTTTATATATAAATGTTTGTGAGAAATGTATTTAATTCTTGTTTTGTACCAATGCAGAGGTTTGGTTAGGATGTTTATTTTATGTCTGTGAACTGTAAGAGAATCCGTATATGTGGCGGGATAGGAGGTTAATTAAGTTATGAATCATTTTTCTTTCTTCCATGGATATGGTTTTACGACTGCTAAACTGCTGAAAACTTATGTTGGCCATTCAAAATATTGTCTGCTTATTTAGTCCATATAATGTATGCCAGAATTTTTAATTGTGAAAAAATTTGCCAAGATTGCAAAGAATTAAGTGAACTACCTCAGCTTAATATCTGACACAGAACTTTATTTTAGCCTGTAGTGGTTTGGGAAATCTATATTATGATGATATTCACAGTGCAGCAAAGTGAAAACTAAGAAAATCTGTTATGTGTTATTCATGCATAATTGGGTGTTAGCTGTTTAAATATGCATATCATATTTTCTATTATAATACTCTTTTCCTCAATGCAAATGATTAAAAATCATGCATGTTTTATGCACAGTTATGAATTCATTCAGTCATTGTGGTCATGAATTTTACATTCTGGATTCATTTTAAATAAGCTGCCTCAGTTTAATGTCTGATCCAGAAATGTATTTCAGTCTATAATGGCTGTGGAAGCCTGTTTACAACATTCATGATGTAAGTAGAGAAAATTTGTTGTGCAGAACTCAGTGTTCATCTTGTAACTTGGTGATGGACGGTAATTGTTTATAAAGTAAATATGTAAATATGCACAAATGGGGGATAAAAGGAATGCATATTGGGTATTGGTGGGAAAGCCAGAAGGAAAGAGATAGGATGAGATGGTATGGATTGGATTGATCTGGCTCAGGATAGGGACCAGTGGAGGGCTCTTGTGAACATGGTAATGAACCTTCGGGTTCCATAAAATGCTGGGAAATTCTTGAGTAGCTGCAGGTTTGGCTTCTCAAGAAGGGCTCAGCTCCATAAGTCAGTATTTGTATTTGTTGTTGTATTTTTATAGTCATGGCTCTGAAATGTGTGAGGAATTGTTTTCTTCCCACTTTCCTTTCCTCTTTTCAACTTTGGTAGACCTAAGTCTGAGAGAAATAAAAGGATACATTATTATTACATCATAAATAATATCAATCAGATACTAAGTCATGTACTGTACCATAGGTTATATTTCAGATTCTTCAAGGTTTTTGTAATAATTGTGCTTCTTGTCTATGAAGTTTCTTCTCCCTCTCTCTACTAATGCAGACATAAGTGAAGTATGTAAATCAAACTTCCATAGTTTTAAAATTGACAAAACCTGTTTCACCATGTAATCCCTTATGTTTAAATGAACTTTTCTGATCAGGTATAACTTTCTCCTTCCACATGTGGTAGGTGAATGAATGAATGATGAATGAACAAATTCATAAGAACATATGAGAGTAAAAATGGTATTCCTTGTAATTATATTATGCAAGTCTTAAGGTTAAAGACAGCCTGATGGATGCCCAGGTAAAGGTTCCCTCTTGCTATATTCTTGGCACAACTTACTTTAAATCATACCAAGTACCAGTGGCCCCCTCCAACGGTGGCCACCAGACTGTAAGCAGTTACTTCTGCATGTCAAGACAGAGTTCTGTTCACAAGCTGTGTGGCATTACATGAGCTCTGAGATGCATGAAAATGATGTCTAATTATAAATGGGCCAATGTTATTGAAATGCAACATGTCACATGACGGTAACTGAGTTACAGTACTGAAGATACTGAGCTCAGCTTACCCCCAGCCTCTATTCTGGAAGGAAAGCTACTGCACATCTCAAAGCCATAGCTCGTCTCACTGAATCTATTGTACAGCAGATTATCTAACTGCAGTTACTAGACCATTGATCACACTTTCTATCTCCTGAATAGAACATTGTAAAGAAATACTGTTCCTTTTGCAGAGAAAACTCCAGGGAAAAATACACTATCACTTCGAATTTACAGACATTAACACTGACAAATGATGTCACATGTCATCAGTAACACACTATCAATATTAGTATGAAATCTGTATGGAATTTGGATCCCTTTGACTCCTTTCAAAAATCTGTCATATGCAGCCACCTTGTTACTTGTCTATTTCTAATAAATTTCAAACATGACTGTACACCAGGTGAATACTCAGTTGCAATAAAATAACAACATATGACCCTTACCTTTCTGTGATCTGTTGGGCTGATCTGCATAGGTGTCCACAATATTCATACATGCCCCCATTGTCACCAGGCACTTCCTGCAGCTCCTGTGTAAACCAGTTCTAAACAGCCTGCTGCATCTCAGCATCCAGCTGCAGCCAATATCCCTTGAGTCCCTTTTTAGGAGTCAAATGACAAGAAAATTGTAAGAAGAGAGAGTTTTAGCCATTGTGATCTGCTTGAAACAGTCTTGGCATCATTTGCTACATTCAGATTAATACTGTTATGATGGAGAATGGCACTTTCTGTGAAGTTTGCTAGAGACATCCATAACAGCTGTATGCAGTTTTTCATCACACTACTGGTTACTGATGGAAACTGCATGTCAACACCTAGGATGATCAAGGAAAACAGTACTGCCTTGCCAGGAAATGGGATCTCGAATTTTCTACATAGGAAGAGTTACACTGCATCTGCTTGCCACTGCTATGTTTCTGTTGGCTATGATCTTGTAAAGATTATCATTGCCTTCTTACATACATCAAAGGGATAGTTACATACACAGCTGTGTGATCCTTAACCTTTACCATCCATATATCTCACATCTGTGGCAGCATATGCGCTGGTTCAGCAGGCCTCAGCAAGCCTTACCTCACATTTATCACACTATAAACCCCCTTACTATTAAGTTTAAATCCAGCCACCAGAGACAGTAGTGGGAGACTTACATTTGGCCAATAAAAGTTAGAGTGTATTCAACCTGTGGTATGGTGGACAGACCATTCTAAATGTGTGTTTGTATTACACCGTACCGTATATAATGCCTCCTATTTTTTTCAAAGAAAACTACAAAAGAGAAACAGAAAGCATAATAATGCAGTTAAACAGAGCAAGATTTCAGCTACTTACAGTTATTTTTCGACATAATCACCACCATTCATTATGCACTTTTGTCAGCGATTAACAAGAGGCTGTACGCTGCGCCAGCAGAGGCTAGCCACTTTGTTACAGCTGCAATGATGGCATCATTATCTGGAAAGTGTTGCCCACGTAGTCCATCTTTCTTAGGCCCAAAGAGATGGAAGTCTGAAGGTGCTAAACTGGGGCTATAAGGTGGATGTGGTAGGACAGTCCAGCCAAACTTTGCAATGTGTGCGTTGGTCGCCAAACCTGTATGGGGTCTAGCGTTATTGTGTTGCAAGCAAAAGGTTGTCTGCTTCTTTGGCCTGACTTGGGAAATGCGGGCTTTCAGCTTAGTCAGCGTCATCTTGTAGCGTTCAGAATTGACAGTCCCTGGTCGTTATCTGCTGATCTGTTCGGATGAGGCGCTGTTCATTGTGAGGAGTGGCTGCTGAGCAGGGACGCCCAGGGCGTGGCTTGTCGTGCACTTCACTTTCGCCTCTGTTGAAACACACTACCCACCGAATCACTGTGCTGACATCCACGGTTTTGTCTTCGTACACCTTTAGCAAGTGTCGATGGATGTCAATAGGTACAATTTGTTCGGCAGTGAGAAATTCAATAACACATCTGTGTTTCATACGCACTTCTATGTCAGACACCATTTTGGTAGACTGCTCTGCTGTCGCACGACAACCAAACTTACAGCAGATTGGCGGGAAGGTTCAACCTTTACTACAACACCACCAACATCCATCTCGGACGTTACATAATAACACAAAAAAAATAGGAGGCATTATTTACGGAACGCCCCTAGTATATTCAGCAGTGCTCCAAATTAATACACATTTTTGTTCATATGTACTTTTACTTCCATGAAGGTGACATGTCTGGGCATTATGATCCAGACCATGGCGTACTCTTATGTTGACTGCTGTCCATCAACTCTTATCTAAATTCTAAAACCAGTCTACCATATTTATTTTGGAAATACAGGTATAAACACAGAATCCCATACTCTGTATACAGCCTATGAAGTCTTTGCAGCCAAAAATCAATATCAGTGCAACAGATGATCCTGTTTGACCATGGAGTCAAACATGTAGTCACATACGGTCACATAGCTGTACAGCTAGGAAGAACTTCAAGCACAGCATTCCACTGCAACTTGTTGATAGTACAGTGGTGCTTGCTGTGCCTAATGGTTTTCTACTGGAACAGCCTTAGTGTGCTTTAATTTTATAAGATTCGATTTAATACATTACACATAACCCTAAAACAGTATCTCTATAATCTGTAGTCATATTTTTATTCTTTGCAGTTAAAATCAAGTATTTACACTATTAACACTTTCTAAGGTGGACATTCCTGTTCAAACATCCGTGTGTTGGTCATTCCAACATTTTAATTTTACCCTGTTTGAACTAGGTACTAACAATCTGAAGCTGATGAATGATCTGAAGGGTCTTGTAAATTTATGTACAAAAATATTCATGAAAAAAGTTTAATATGCAGTTGAAAAGAATATCACTTGCAATTTATATGGACAATACTGCCTACTCTTAACCCAACCAATGAACCTATATTATCTTCTCTAGCATAGTACAAAATTAAATACAATAATTTGTGAAGCAGATTATAAATATCATTACAGTTATCCACCATGCAGCATTCATGATGATTTAAAGAACAAATATACACATGGACAGCTTTTTCAGTAGTCTATCAAGCAAATGACTTGTTGATCAGTGTTCATGACAGCTTGCACATACCCAGTACTTTTTACCTGTGTTCTTCTGTCAGCAGTTTTCATGTACATATAAAAGCACATAATTCTGTTAAGATAGAACTACAATTTCCTAGGAGTGGTAACAATGGACACTGTTTTAGAGTACAATTAATTAGAGGCATACATACCAATATTACAAAGTAACTGGTAAAGGTACTAGTACAATATTAACAGAAAAAATTCCAAAATAAGCAGCATTATTTTGTTTAAAGACTTAAACCAACTGAAATGTCAAGACAGCAACTGAATGACATACCAGATTATTCATGAATCACACGTAGAGTGCTATCTTCTGGCCATCTTATTCCAGACTACATGGTACATCATCCCAGAAGAGAGAATTCTTCATAGTCCATCAATATGAAAACTTTAAAATAAGGCTGGGGGGGGGAGTATGGTTTAAGTCCTTAATTTTGTTACATGTTTCCGATCGGTTTCCTGAAACTCCCGTGTCTAAATACTATATAATGCAGTATTAAAGCATAAATACATTGCAATTTTTGTTAATGCATCTGTATCTTTGGGCAGCAGCATTCCAGAAAATGACTTCCTTAGCTATTTCACACATCAATGGGATAATTTTTTAAGGGAATATCCAGCACACTTTAGTTCTGAACTTTTAACACAAACTTAGATCACATCACTTTCTCATGGCACACTGCTACTAATTTTGACTGGTAACTTGACAGCAACGGTTCACTTACATACTGTAACATGTTTCAGGATCTGTCCATGAAAGAATGATGATGGTAGCTTACTTTAAGATGACATGGAATGCATGTTAATGGTATAAAGCAGTAACAGATAATTATTTACTACAATTATGGTACATATGAGATTAATATCAACTCTCTCTGCCATATTTAGGCCATCAACTGAATTATTCAGTTTCAACAGAATGTGAAGTGTCCATTGTAGCTAAAACTGGGGCTGGATGCACAGAAGTTCCTACTCATACTTCAGTGGTCAGGGAGACAGCAGTTCTTAATTTGAGTTGGCCCAATGTTGTCAGTATCCACCATGTAAGTGCTGTAACAGAACTCTCAGCTCTTTTAATTTTTTTTGTCTTCCTTCTTTGCATTTCTTCATTTTTACAGAAACCAGTATGGAGGAAATTCAGAGCAGCTGAAAACAAATTTCAAGTATTTTAGATGTATTATATCATAAATCCTTTAATTGCCCATAGTATAAATGCTGATTAATTAGAATTTTAGAATGATCCAGTCATCCTGGGGTTGCATCAGATTTTCCACCTACCCTGAAAATTGTTCATGAATGTAGACATCTGCTGCTGTTAAAATAATATGAAGGAAGGAAGTAATATGGTTAGATTTTCCTCCTCTGCACCACCACTAGATAACCCCTAACACCTCCAATGTATAATGGAGGTTCTATAACGGACAAGCAGTAGCACACCATGAGCAATAAGAGGTGTTGTTAGTGTCATATGCAATGCATTCTGATTTACTAAATTACTTTTAAGTACAACATTGTAGGTGTCACAGATCTTTAATTTGTCCAGCAGGCAGAGTGATGGTGTGCTGTGAAATACAAGTTTTGAAACCTACAAAGTAAAGATAAAATGCAATACCATCCTCATAACTAGAGCTAGGATTTTTATATAAATACATATTTTATTTCTTACTATGTAGATCTTCAAAAAGTAATAATCTCCATGAATTGCAGCATTAGCATTGCTACAGTTGAACTTTGTTCTACATATTTCTACATGTTTTGGCATTTCACACATATTTCTTTGGATGTTACACAAAACTATATATTTCATGATATTTTTCCTTACTTGCATTTTAAACTGGAAAGTGCTTGTATTTTTCTGTGTGTATTTTAGTTAAATATCTTACTAATAGTCTCCTCCACCTTCCAAAAGAGTTTCTGGAATGATGGGGAAATCCGGAAGGAAATATATCTTTTGTAAGGCAGAGTAAACTACAACCCCCAAGTAATACCGCTCATTAGTGTGACCTATGCATTAGGGATTTTTCTATGAATTTGAATGGTGTTCCTTTGCATTGCAGTTACAGTGGCAGCTCGTAGCTAAAATTAGTAGGGGTGCTGCTCCAGAAGCGCACAGTTCCATATAAAGATTTGGCTACTGACATTAAGCTTAAGGATTATATATTGTATTGTACAAGCATAAAGAAAGAATTAAAGAAAAAAGGACTCATTATATAAATGCTATCAATAATATCATGTGGAAATTGGGGGTGCTGCAGTTCCGCAGTGCCTATACACGGGCCGCCCTGGTCCCCTCCACCCTCACAAAACGTGAATCCTAGAGTGCATTTAGTGATCCAAAAGTGGCCTGCTCAATTGCATACATCCAAAGCAATTTCGGCTTGCTTCTGTAGAGTATAAAACGTTTAGAAAACCAGGGACTTCTTCTGCAAGAATCTATGGACATAACAAAAAATACAAGTGAAAAACTTAGTGCCGTGAATGGGGAGGCTGGCGAAAGTGTGTCCATAATTTGCAGGCAGTGTTAAAAAGAAACTCTGGATTTTTTACATTTACCAGTATGTCTGGTACTTAATGGAGACAATGCAGATCCCCTTAAGACATTGCTCCTGAAATATACACCAGTGACATCTTGTGATGCAGAAAGATCCTTTTCAGCCTACAAATACATTTTAGCAGATAAAAGACAATCAATTACCCCAGAAAATATGGAAACGATTCTGTGTATTAAAACAAACGAACTGCATGGCTTTTAGTCTGCAAGCAAACTACACCGACTGAGTGACAGCCGCTTGTTGGCAAAAATAATGCCAACTTTAGCAGAAAGAGGGTGTCACATGGTCAGCACAATGAATTCGGTTTTCTAGACCAGACATAATTGTATATTATGCATAAAAAACAATGATTGTGCCAAAAGATTGTAAATAAAGGTTGCTTGCAAAACTAATTATTACTTTTATGTGATGTTACATATTTTAATGAATCCACATGTTTTACTACATATTTCAGAGGTTTTTGCTATATTATTATGTACATATTTTGCAGGATGATACTACATAAAAATCCTAACTCTACTTGTAACAATTTACGTATAACTTACAAAAGCAAAATGTCAGGTAACAGTTATTTACAGTGCTCCACCTCCAACCTTTCAGTTACAAAGGCATGCAAGTTAATACAACCTAGGGCGAACACTGTGATTATGTTAACACGTCACAGGGCACAGAAGTTCAGAGTTAAATTCTTGTCAGAAACAATGTAAATTCAGAAGGTTACCATCTGGAATCCAACACCACATAGTCAGAAGTTTTACAGAAATTCTGAAGGAATGTGCTGCTTCCAGAACGTCAGTAAACTTCTACCAGATCTCAGAGTATCACATCCCAGAAAGATGTACTCCTCATAGTCACCACCATAAGAACCTCAAATCTCATACAGAAAATCAAGGTTTGAAATCTAGTAATGGAAGATTTACAGTGAGTCAGCTTTTATCAAACTTCTAGTTTTTTACCATGCATTTTACTTTGGAAGATACCAATAATCCACATTATAATGGAATATGACATTTGAAGCACTGTCATAATGTATTAATGAACACACTTTTGCCATTATTTGTACAATATATCCATTATTAATCATAAGCCATAAATATTGCAAGAATCACATCCTCAGTCTGCAGCCAATGATTCATTTGCAGAAGACAGCATAACATATGGATTCCAGAAGCATAAAACTGCGATAACCTTCCTGCTAACCTTAGAAATTAATGAAATGAATTTCCAGTTCCACAGGCCCCAGCATAAAACACTCAAGATACTTAAAGAATAGGGCTGAATTTTTCCTTTGAACACCTACCCATACTTTAATGGGCTGTATCAGTTGCATCTGAAGAGTGACGTGTATGGATTTCATTCCAAGCAGGGTATTCAGTAGCATTTTTCCTTCGCAACCACAGAATTCATCATTCCATCCTTTTCCAAATCACAACATATTTTCCAAAGATTCATATCAATATAGAAGCTGGGATAGTTCTGTCAGTATAGCAGCTAAGCTATGGACAACCAAGGAATTGGAATTTGAGTCACAGCAGTGACAAGACATTTTTCTCTTCTCCATGTTGTGCAGACAGGCTCTGGAGACCCCCAGCCTCCCCCCCCCCATAAAGCAGCAGGCGCATGAAGCTGACCACTCACTTCATCTACTGCCAAGGTTGAATGGTGGGACTATAGCTTCAACCCCCATACATCTTCATTGCATGGTAGGGAAAATTTACCTTTTTTGCCATAACCTCAGTATCATTTTCTGATCTGCGCTTTGACCTCTTTCCATTATAAGAACTGTATGTGTTTCTCTGGTAGCAGAATATAAATATTACATGCCACTGGGAAACACTGTTATGTAAGGAAAAATTAAAGAAAATAGAAATTTTTAGAATACATTAGTATTGTGACATGTCCGCTGAAAGCTGGAATAGCTTAACCAGAACAGGCATTGGTTACTAGGTTACAGCACAAAAGTGATGCAACAATGGAATACATCATGCTATGCTATGTGACCAATGGGGTGTTCTCTGTGAGTCCTTGCCAATAGTGATATCATGAAACAATAAAGGAATTGTGGAAAGCATGTGTGTTCTGTTGAGTCTGTCCCAAGGCTATATCATGAGGACCCATGGGCAGAGAAGTCATACAAAATCATGAAAATGAGAATGTTTGCAACATCGGACAAGGCGAAGCCCGACACAGAAAGTATAAGAGGCTTAAACTTGGTGGCAGTCAGGCATACAAACATTCAAGTGACTAGACTGCCGTGGTAGCGAATACTACTAGAAATAGAGCATAATCTGCTGCACTGAGCCTGGATTGACAGAGGCCTTGTATATATTGTACATAGAAATAGGAATTAAGATTAAATTTGTAAATATATGTAAATACTGACATTGGACTTACTAATACGGACTATGACAGACCCAACCTCTCGTCAAAGAGGGCGCCTCAAATGGACAGGAGAGTAACTTTCATATAAGGAAAAAAAACAAAAAGAAAACAAATTCTGGTCATGAGCCCCAGCTGCGGCTCAACATCAAGACAGACAGACAGAGACTGACTGACCGTCAGTCACAATGTGACTTGGACTTGGACTAGAGGAATTAGTCTGAGTCAAGAGACTAGAGAAGTGAGTCTGCAGTTAGCATCTGGGACACAGACCCATCAGAGATTGTCACAGTCACCCATGGCAGAAACAGAGGAGCTCCCATTGTTGTAAGTTGTTGTGCAGCAATGTCCAGTTGTGAGACAGTCACCAGCCAGTAAGGACGTGAACATGGAAGCTGAGGAATCTATGGTGTTGTAAGCCATTGCCAGACAACTGGTGAAGACACAGCAGACTGAGCATATTCAATGTGCGCTGTAGTGAACTATTGAGTGTGTGAATTAGCAACAGTACCACAGTTACTTGTAGCTATTATCTGTAAGGGTCCAATAAATCTGATTACCAATCCAAACCCCGTCTATAGTAATCCTATCATGTGACACTATTTACATTGAACTTAAGATTACATTCTGAGTTTTGTTAAGGACCTAGTATAGAGGATCTTTACCAGAGCAATTGGTGCAGGGGATGTGAGTATGATCAGCAGGAAAGAAAAAAATTTGTAAGCCTTCATTTGAAAGAAAAACAAGAGGAGAGTCCCTGGTTATAAATAAAATATTTATTGATATCTACTCATATACTAGAGCAAGTATCTCATTTCAGTTTTCCAGGAAATGACATAAAATATATTAAACAAGGACTTAAATTTAGTAAGTGTGAAGGAATATAATGTACCTTTGTAAGAGGTTTAAAGACTGAAATAAAGAAAGAAACAGCCAAAATTTTACAAAGTACCTGAATTGCTTAATCCGCTATATTAAAGCGAATCTTGGACAATTAAAGCAAGGAACATAAATAAGATATACTCATCCCTGTAAGATACTTCGGAACAGTAAAATGCTGCACTATCTTACACCAGATGAACATAAATCTTGGACCAGTCGGATAGAATGACTAATGAAAGAATATGGAGATTTCATACTAAACTTAAACAGCATTGAGACCTTGGAACAGATGGACTGAATATGTTACATCAGAATAGGCTTGACCGCCTATATCACAAAGTGAAGAATAATATGAACAATGAAATAGGAAATTCTTACACAATCTAACGTTGGAATTCCATCTCTCCACTTGTTTTCTCCTCTATGTGCATGTGTGTGTGCATATATTGAGAAGGGGTAAGGCAGGAGGTGCTAGCATTGTGGAAGATACCTTAAACTTCTGGGAGTGTTCTTGGAGAAGAAGGTTAATCTCTGGTCTAATGCATTATACATGTCAGAAAAATCTGATAAACACTGCAGTGGATGATATACAAAATTAAAATAAACAAGAAATCCTGAATGAATTTCCATCTGACAAGTATTATGTGTAATCACATTTTGTCTTAAAAAATATAAGACAGAATGAGGTCCTAGAAACTCTTTCATTAGATTTATATACTTAAAAAGCTTCAACATGCCAGACAGACTCAAAATACAGGTTGGGGCGCAGAAACTCCCTTTTTGTGAAGATGCATTGTGAAGGGAGGGGAGGTTGCAGAAAATTGGGGATAGGCTCGGTGAACACAGCAGTCGCAGAAGATTCTGTCTAATACCTCTCAGTAGGAAACATGAGGTGGACGAGTGAGCAGCGTGCGTTCCATACTCACTTCGGAATCAAGCCCAGAGGTCCGGTTCCCAACCGGAAATCGATTGTTTTGTGGGTAGAGAACTTTAGGACAACTGCAAGTGCGGTGAAAAAAATCATCAGGATGACAACGGACCGTTACGACACCAGAAAATGTGGAGGCAGTTCGACAGTTGATTTTGAGATCTCCAAGACGCTCCGCTCGCAAACATGCAGTCGCCCTAGACATATCCAATCGCTGAATGCACCAAATTCTTCACAAACATCTTCATTTCCATCCCTATTAAGATGGTTGTTGTGCAAGAATTGTCACCACGTGATTTCCAGAACCGAATAACGGTGTTCGAAACGTTATTTGAAACTTTACCCCCTGACGCACTTGTTTTCTTTAGTGATTAGGCACATTTTCACCTATCCGGATATGTCAACAAGTGGAATATGCATTATTGGACTGGTAACAATCCCAGAGAGCTCCATGAGAGGCCACTTCACAGTGATAAGGTGACAGTATGGTGTGCGCTGTCAAAAGTTGGAGTTATTGGCCCTTATTTTTATGAAGAAGACAATCATGCAGTTACTGTCAATTCACAGCGGTATGTGGACATGATTAAAAACTTTTTTGAACCAGCTCTTGAAGAAATGCATCTAGGAAATGTCTGGTTCCAACAGGATGGTGCCACAGCCCACACAGCCTGAGCTTCGATGACAGTTATGAGGGCAAAGTTCCCCGGACGGCTCATCTCACTTCGAGGTGACATCCCGTAGGCAGCGCACTCATCTGATCTAACGCCCTGTGATTTTTTTTATGGGGATACCTCAAGGCAGAGGTTTTTAAACATCGCCCCACAAACCTGCTTCAGCTGAAGAATGTTATTTGGCAGGAAGTAGCCCAAATTCCAGTGCACATGTTGGAACGTGCAGAGGGGAACTTCAGAAAACGGTTGCATCAGTGCACAGAGAACAGTGGCCACCACCTTCAAGATATTTTGTTTAAAACTACATGATTTAAAACTTTAAAGTATTGTAACGTGTCGGCAAACCAGAGGAGTAACTTCTATGGAAACGCCAGAACAGACCGTTGCATAAGAAGTAACAATAGCGATACTGTAATTCCAACAGTGAGCTGTTGTATCGAGAACATCGAATCTCCACGGTAACGACAAACAAAGCAACGTCTCCATGGTTATAACAGAAGGTTCATTTGCCTAGCAGCGGCGAGGGTATAAATAGGCCAGCATTCGAAGAAGTCAGTCTCGGAAGAGCCGTCTAAGAAACCAGCCTTCATCAAGCCTTCCGAGAAGCTAGCCTTTATCCAGCCTTCGAAGTAGAGTGTCGCAGAGGATAGTCGAGGTGTCACAGTGAATAGTAGTTGTACTCGTGACTGTGTAAGCGGAAGAACAATAAAGGTTCTACTTAATTTGTGGCCTACGTGAATCTATTTGTAGCGTGACACACAAACACGCTACAGTATGTTCTTTCATTAGCTAAACATAAATTTTGTCTATCAGCAATAATTTTTCTTTTATTTGCCTTCAAAAAAAGGAAGTTTCTGCGCCCCACCCTGTACTTCATCATGCGAACTAACTGTTTAAAGACACATTTATTTAAAATATTTCTTTTAATATGTTGCTCAAATAAATATACCTTGAAAATTAACAAACAACAATCTCAATAGTCACAACCAAAGGTGTCTAAAAGAGATACTGATGAAAATGCTGTGAAAACAACAGAGAGTATGGCTTATAAGTTGGACTTCACTATAGTGACAAAAACCATTGGAACTATCAATTTATTAACATCACACATACAGAAAACCAACACATAAAACTACATTTTCTTCTAAATTTTATTGGGTTAAAATATTAAACAGTTATGGGTTCATGTACAGTTTATGTGCCCTGTAAGAAAAATTTTACAATTAAGCATAATGACTGTTTCACAATTTCTTATGCACATGTCATAAAGTTGCATGTATTCCAATTGTGGCATTTAGAACAACCCATAACTAATGCAAGCATATTAAGTACCAGTGAGATTTTAACTGTTTTATGTGTTGGTCTGTTACTCCAGTTTCATAGAAGTTGGTGAGTTTATTCTCACATATATGCACATCCAGCAAATTATGGACTCAATGTGGATGAGATCTGCAAGCATACAGCAAATACTGGGTTTGGCTTTGACCTATAAAAAACAGCTCCTTATTAACAATCAACTGTGAACAGAAGAAGTTATATAAGCTGAAGAAAATCTTTAACACTTAAGTTCAGATAATGCTAATGCTAATGATAATGATCATGCTGAATTGGGGTTACTTTCACATCCCTGTGATAACCATTCCAAAGAAGAAACATTTCTGCACCTGCACTAGTATTCACACCTTGGTGCCATATTGTATTATATATAATGGGAAGTTGGGGGACAAATCCGTAGTTACATATTTCAACCATTTTCAGATATTATGAGTATCTGCTACAACGAGCACTGTCTTGAATTTTATGAAGTCTCATTAATATTGAGGTGGAACTGTATTGTTTACTAAAGATAAATGGATACTAATTCTTTAATAAATATTTCATGAAAACTTACTCTCTATTCTGAAGTTTCACCATAAGTATAGCTACATTTAAAACTGAACATGGCAGAGCTGGACCACGCAAATTTTTCAGTTCAAAGAACCAAAGAAATGTGGGAGGTTCTGAGGGCTGAGCACCAGAACACTAAATGGTACCAATAATTATTTATCCTATGCTGACTATCCAATGATTTTCTCAAGCAGAAGAGGGTCACTTTACTCAACATGCCTATATAGAATTAATACTGTCAGTTCAAAACCAAGTACTTTCAAGAATATTGGTCCACTTTCTAAAATAGTTTTACTAGTAAAAGGATGTTTCACTTAATTTAAAGGTATATAAATATACCTATTAACATGAATTAATATGTCTCTATTAGAATGAATTAAGACAACATGTATAATTCATATCTGAAGAAATAACTCAAATGTTCTTCCAAAATGCCATTTTAAATTTAACACATTGCATGCTCTTTCATGGTAACTGCAGACTACTTATCATTAAAGAAGTAACATTCATAATGAGGTCATTCATCATGCCCATGTTCGCATGAGATACTGATTAAATGAAGCATTAACATAGAACATAAACAGGCTACAAGCAGGCTTGTCAGACATGGTACAAATCAAAAACCTTTGCATTGGTAGAATAAAAGATTAAAGGTCAGCTTTGTTTATTACTGACAGTCCATGCTAATGTTCATGGAATTCAAGCTGAAACATGATTGTCCATCTTCATGCTTGCAACCAAGACTGAGATTTCTCTTTTTGAGGGAAATTAAATTAAATAAATTGTGGTAAAAGTAAAAATTAAAGTTTTAAAATAGGATTCATTCTCATATCCTAATGATATTATGAAAAAAAAACCTTATTTGGTTGGTTTCCAATGCTGCACTTTGACAATTAAATCATTTGTGCTTTTAACCTTAACTGGTTGACACATCTGTAACTCATCTTCTGTTTTCATGCCACTCGGGCAGGAAATGAGATTTTTCTTAATTTCAGCTGTAGCAATACAGTACTGATAGAGGTGATCCAAATTTCTGATTTTGAACATATATCATCATAGTACCAACTACATTAAAAAATACACTGTAAGTTTTATGAGATATGTATATACAAATTTTGAGCATACACTTACTATTATGATTATCTAAGTGAGGTTATGTATAGAAGTTTCAGTAATCTTGTAGCAATACAAAAGCAAATTCATCATGTCAGTTTTATGACTCATATAATTTGAACACAAGATACAGCTATTTTATTTTATAGTGTATCACTTCCAAAGTATTCTAAGAATGTGCTTCTCAATTACAATAAAAATGTTAACCTCCTAGATAAATTCTGCTCAAAATTCATGTCTAGATAGAGAATAAAATTCACAAAGTTACACATTCCTCACCTCTAAGTATATGACAGTATTAGAAAGGGGTACATTTGCCGATGCTTTCTTCTTTCTTCCATTTCATAATTACAGTTCTGCTGCTTAGTCCATATTCACTCATTTGCAGGCAGTACTATACACAAAGAAGTGCCATAATTTGTAGACCATAGTCCACTCATGTATTTAATACCTTTATATCCAAAAGAATGAAATTTCAGCACTGACTGTTGCAGTTCTTGGTTCTTGGTACAATGGTGTTCATCTTCGGGGGACCTTAGCAGGTGGTGGCATTGAATCTTGTTCATTCTGAGTCCACCTCTGCTGCTCTATATATTCCAGCAGTCTATCTGTAGTAACTGGGTCACGAATACAGTTCCACACAGCTGTATCAAGCACAGAGAATATTCCAAATGCAGTAAACTCACTGAAACTATTAGCAGTCTAGCATGAGGCCAGTCAAATTTCAGTCAACAATGGTGATATCATATGTCAACAGTAAATACAATAAAACCTTGCTATACTAAGGCTATTAAAATAAATCCCATGGATTATTTCCCTCTGCATCTCCTTTGAGCTATTACATTTCCCCCCTTCTGCACTACATCCCCTCCCAATCCACAGGAATGCTAGCAGCAATAACCACCTTCACTATCGACAAGTCTTTGGACTGAATTACACAGAGCAGAGGGGACTGGAGGGGAACACAACAGTAGACAAAAAGCAGGAAGTCATCAGTGCTGCCACAATCACCATCCAACAGACTTCCATTGGTGGCCTCATTACTGTCCTGACTATACAGGGAACATGAGAGTGTGGATTTGGCAATACTCTAGATCAAAATGTTTCAGGTTTTCTTTACTATGACACAATCTGTTTTGCTGTGCCAGATGCTCTCAGTGTTAGAAGCTGATCCTGCAGCCTCTAAACCCTAAATTTATCTATAAGACCGAACATATTTCCTTTTTACTATACTTTTATTAGGGACCACTATTCACTATCAAAACTTCTTTAAGAAGAGATAACTGCATAAAGTGATATATGGATTTTCAAGGTCCAGTCTAGAGGGGTTTTATTATATATGTTAAGCTGTGAACCCTACCCTCCCACACTTCTTCCAGCTTCATATTATATTCATGCAGCAAAACCTGTGAAATGGCCATCTGCTGACTATCTGCCTCGGTTGACCACATTTTGGGAAATGAAGAGCTTTTAACAGATCAAATTCAACAATTAATTGGTGTTTCAATGTATGTGAGGTAGCATTTTCCAACAAATTTCTATACTAATACAATTTGTAATACTAAAAGTATTTGTGGCATATGCCTACGAGTTTAATAGTATTTGTTTCTGTATAAACTTTGCTGCATGCACCACCACTCATCACTTCCACAAAATTATGTACAAGATTATGACATTAGAATAATTTCAAATTATCTGTGTAAGGTTCACTAAGAGAAAATCTCATACAATTTCCCAAACTGTGTTCTCAATGCACAGATCCTGGCAAATCACTATAAAGACATGTCAAAGCAGCTGATCTGTTCGACTCTGTTGCCAAATGGAATTAATACAACTGTAGATGCAAAAGTTTTTGGTAATACATATGATCTGTATAAGTAACAGATCATAATTTTTATTAATTTCAATGCGTAAGCTTAAGTATCAATACACACTTTCCTAACTTCAGGTTCAAAGTGAAATCTGAACAGGTATTTTTAAGGTAAGTAAAGTACCTTCAGCTGTGCTGTAGCTGTTAGGAAACGATTTGTCAGTCCTTTCTCTCATGAAGACCCAGTGATTGTCTTGGAACCTGCATTCAACTATTTTGTTGTGAAGCTCTTTAAGGGTCTTATTCACCTTCATCTTGGCAAAGGGGACATCCATTCCACCCACATACAAGTATCCAACTGTGCTTTTTAGAATACTGAAAGTGCAAACAATTATATAAAATCCATTTAATAAGCACATAATTTGCTCTATACTGTGTTCTAAAGCCCATTTCAAATGCATGCACAAACACCAGCAATGCACAAACAATCCAGATGGCAGAACTTTGTAGAACATAATTATTTGACATTGTCGCCTGTTAGTGACAAGACACAGGGTTCAGACTGAGAGCTGAATTTAATGCATACTTATTACTCTTAATGACAGGTGATCTCAACACTTTTGTTATTCTTCCAAAAATTCAAATAATCACAGCACTTTCCAAATCTTTCCAGTCTGCTATATCTTCACATACTCACAGTCTTGGTAACTGTCTCCAATAACTGAGATTCTCCCTAATAGATTTTGCTCAATGGTTCTGTTCTCAACATCTCCTGTTTTGGGTTGGGTTGGGTTGGGTTGGGTAAATTACTGCTCAAATTTTCTATATAGCATCAATGCAGACCGATGCCTGTGTATGTATGTGGTTCTGTGGAAATGTGTTTCAACAGCTGTTGTGTAGCAATGGACACCTCTGTTACACTTATCTGATTTCAAGACAGGAGACGGCACTCAAGTATACTTGATGTTCAATCATTCAGGGCAGCAGACTGTGACACTGACAATTACCTGGTGGTGGCAAAGGTTAGGGAAAGACCGGCAGTGAGCAAACAAACAACACACAGGGTTCATATGGAGAGGTTGAATCTCAAGCAATTAAATGAGGTGGAGGGTAAAGAGCAGTACTATGTTGATATCTCAAATAGGTTTGTGGCTTTGGAAAACTTGGAAACTGAGGTGGATGTTAATAAAGCTTGGGAAATTATGAGAGAGAATATAAAAATGTCTGCCAAAGAGAGTCTAGGTTATTATGAACCAAAGAAGCATAAGCCATGGTTCAATGAAGGATGCTCAAAATTATTAGATCAAAGAAAGCACGCCAAATTGCAATGGTTACAGGATCCAAGTGAGTTAAATGGGGATAATCTGAACAATATAAGACATGAAACCAGCAGGCATTTCAAGAATAAAAAGAGGGAATATCTGAAAGACAAAATTGATGAGCTTACAATGAACAGTAAGAACAAGAACATTATAGACCTGTATAGAGGAATAAATGACTTTAAGAGAGGTTACCAGCCTAGCAGTAACTTAGTGAAGGATGAGAATGGTGATCTGCTTGCAGATTCCCACATTTTGAATAGGTGGAGGAACTACTTCTCTGTTATTGAATGTACATAGGGTCAGTGATGTTAGGCAGACAGAAATCGATACAGCTGAGCCGTTAGTACCTGATCCTAGCCCATTTGAGGTTGGAAGTGCTACTGCAAAATTGAAACGGTATAAATCGCCAGGTAGTGATCAAATTCTGGCAGAACTTATTCAAGCAGGAGGTGAAATATTACGTTCTAAGATCCACTATCTAATTACTTCTATCTGGCATAAGTAAAAATTGCCTCATCAGTGGAAGGAGTCTATTATTGTACCAGTTCACAAGAAGGGTGATAAAACTGACTGTAGTAATTATCAAGGGATATCACTGCTATCAACTTCATACAAAATTTTATCCAGTTTTCTTCTCTCAGGGTTAAGTCCATATATAGATGAAATTATTGGGGATAATCAGTGTGGGTTTCGACATAATAGATCAACTACAGATCAGATCTTTTGCATTCCTCAGTATTGGAGAAAAAAATGGGAGTACGATGAGACAGTATATCAGCTATTCGTAGACTTCAAGAAAGCCTATGATTCAGTTAGAGGGAAGTATTGTACAATATTCTGATAGAGTTTGGGATACCAATGAAACTAGTTAGGTTTATTAAAATGTGTTTAAACGAAACATATAGTAAAGTCTGTGTAGGTACACATTTGTCTGATAAATTTCCTATCCAGAATGGTCTAAAACAAGGAGATGCTTTATCGCCACTCCTTTTCAACTTTCCTTTAGAATATGCCATTATGGAGGTCCAGGGAAACCACGTGGGACTGAAATTAAACGGGACACATCAGCTGTTGGCCTATGCCGATGATGTGAATCTACTGGGTGGTCTAGAAGTAAACACTGAGAAAACTAAGTATATGTTGCTGTCTCATCACCAAAATGCAGTGCAAAATCATGATATAAAGATAGGAAACAGATGTTTTGAAAATGTGGCACAATTCAGATATTCTGGAACAACGACAACAGATCAAAACCTGATTCAAGAGGAAATTAGGAGGAGATTGAACTTGGGGAATGCTTGCTACCATTCGGTCCAGAACCTTTTGTCTTCTCGTCTGCTGTCCAAAAACATAAAAATTAGAATATAGAAAACTATAATTTTGCCTGTGGTTCTGTATGGGTGTGAAACTTGGTCTCTGACAGTAAGGGAGGAACACAGACTGAGGGTGTTTGAGAACAGGGTGTTAAGAATATCTGGACCGAAGAGAGATGAAGTGACGGGAGGTTGGAGAAAACTGCATAATGAGGAGCTTCATAACTTATACTCTATTCCAAGTATAAATAGAATGATAAAGTCAAGGAGGATGAGGTGGGCAGGGCATGTAGCATGAACGGGGAGAGATAAGAAATGCATATAGGATATTGGTTTAGAAAGCCAGAAGGAAAAAGACCACAAGGAAGATCAAGGCATATGTGGGTGGACAATATTAAAATGGATCTTAGAGATATAGAATGGGATTTTATGGATTGGATTGATCTGGCTCAGGATAGGGACCAGTGGAGGGCACTTGTGAACACAGTCAAGAACCTTCGGGTTTCATAAAATGCTGGGAAATTCTTGAGTAGCTGCAGAATTGGTGGCTCCTCCAGAAGAGCTCAGCTCCACGAGTAAGTAAGCAAGCAGCAATGTGGTATGTCATGAGAAGAAACAATGGTATCATATGCCAAAATAGATTTGGTAATTTTGATACACCCTACCTACACACGTTTACAGGAAATGTTGCCTTAAAGATGAGATTTGAGTTTTTCACAGCAGTCAAAATTAAGACTGTCATCTTCTGTATTATGGTAGTCACCAAAGAAGCAGAGAAACCTGCTGCTCCCACCTCCATTGTAGAAATGACTTCAACACTGAAAATTGGGGGTGGCAAGTTTCTCCAAAATGTTGATGGTCACCAACAAAACTGCATCGTATCATAGCTCAGAAGACCACCTTATCAACTTACAGGTACATGAAAAAAGACACGTGTGACAAATTTCATTTTATGAGATTTCAGGTTCTCATTATGACAAATATCAAAGTTATGGTCATCTGTGATATGACACCATGTGGCTTGGTAGATACATACGACAGCCTGTTATCTCCATCTAACTCTTTTATTCTGAAGATGAAGCCACCAGGTTTCTCTAAAATGTAGACACCCACTACCAAACAACATGGTGTCACATCCAAGAAGACTGCAGATAATCTTTAAAGTTATTCTTATGGGAAATATGTCTGACATAAGGCTTTATGGATAAGAGTTTCCACAGCAGGAGACTGGGATCCATGGGTAAACAGTTTTGCCATTTGTTTCCCTGACAAACGCCTTGACATCCTCATGTAAGATTACACTATATTCATAATATCATGTATACCAGTCAGTCCTCAATTTACTGACACTCAAAGCCCAAATGAGTACAATACTCTAATGTGTATAGCTAGGGAACAGTGCAATAAACACCTCGCTTAAACACTTCACAACACTACATGATCATTGTTGGGTAATGACTCAGTAAACACATTAAAACGTTAAACAATAAAACTGTATCTCAGTGAATGAATGTTTATTGCTCATTGCTAGCCAACAGCCAGTGCATAAATGAAGTCGCTGGCTAGGAATCATGTGACTAGTTTTCTGTAGGTCCACACCAAAGGTCATTTGCACTCAGCTGTAAACTGGAAGAGCAAACTGGAACTAGGAGTGCAGAGTCCAGGAGGGTTCAGCAATTGAGAGTACAAGGACAAGAATGGTGCGTGAATTGTGAAGATTGAGTACAGATTAGGACAGAGGAGTACAGAGTGACTGAAGACAAGATGATGTGGGAACTGCCCGCATTCAAGCAAGTGTGACAACGCGAGCTTCGTTGCTAAGCAACAGTGTCTGTGTTGAGATGTGTTGCTAGGAGATGACTAGTGGAAACAGAGAATCCTAGTGCGCTGCCAACGGCAAACTGTAAATTGTATAAATTAGCAACAGTGCTGTGTTTAAGTGTACTTAAGAAAGACAAACAAAAAACAAAACAAAAACTCAGTGGCTTTAGTCCACAACGGAACTATACCGACTGAGGGACCACAGCTTGTTGGCGAAGTTAGTGCCAACTTTAGCAGATAGAGGGTGTCGTGTGGTCAGCGCAACGAATTCCCACAGCCGTTAATTTCGGCTTTCTAGACAGGAGCCGCTACTTTTCCATTCAAGTAGCTCCTCAATTATCGTCACGAGGTTGAGTGAACCCCATTCCAAACTCACTACTTCTTAGAATATCTGGTAGCGCCAGGAATCAAACCTGGGACCTCTGGATCTGTAGCCAGGAACTCTGACCACTAGACCACAGACTAAATGCTTATAAATTGAATCATTCGAACTAGAACCCATCATTTCCATCATGCGTACCACCCTACATGTGACAATATCAACAGGCTAATGACATAAAAACTGCAAAACAAATGTGAAGAAATCAACATTTGTATGTTTTCAGGTAAACAATGGAGCCTATGCAAGCGGTCTATCTGTTCCCTAAACCTCCCGGGACATGATGCCAGATCCACAAGGCCACACAATCCATGACTGACTCACATAGCAACCCCCCCAGCTTAAGGGTTAATGCCCNCCCATTAACCTTGCCTTTCTCCCCCGACACAATATCCTATACCTGCTCTAAACTTGCTCCAGCTCCCCAGACCGTTCCCCTCTCCCTCTCCACTGATTTCCCATTCAGACTTGTCCCTTCCTTCCTTGCTCTCATATAGATGGGTTTATTTCCAACATTAGTCTGCTTGAACCTGTTCTCAC